GCGGTGTATAGTCAAAACCCGACGACGGAAAAAATGACAATCGGCTGCCTTCGCTGAAATCAAGTTATGTAGAGGGGAAAAACATGCGCACAAGAAGACCGTTCTCTCCAGGGACAGACTATAAATATTTTATTTAATCGAATTACGAGCGATGAAAGAAAAAAGTTATATTAACCCATGAATAATCTGTATCTTGTTAAGTATTATTTATATATATATATTTTTTTTTTAGTTTTATTAAATGTTACTGTTTTAATATAAATAATTATTAATCTTTTCGGACTTAATCGTTTCTTAAGGGTTTAAAATTTTGTTTTATTTTTTTTTACTTTAACTGCGTCATTAGTCTAATAAAGATTTAATATTTTAGAACTTAGGGGTCAGATTTAATTAATATTTATTTATTAATAAATTTTTATTTTTTTTTATTCTTTAAATGGTATTAAATTTTTGATATTCTACAATTATAATTTAAATTGTAAGATAAATGGAAACATATTTTTCTAAAAATGTATGACGTATACTAATATCTACTCTTTCGATTTTGTACTAATTCTCTGTGTTCTCTTTTTTATATTTATTTTTAAATTAATAAGTATGAAAATTTACATATGAAAAGTTCGATTTATTTAACTAACTGTTTTAATCTGTTTATATATTAATATTTATTTTTTTTTTTTTACTTTGTATAATTCTTATTGTATAGATATTATGATAAATGATAGATGATTACATAAATAATAAGGTACTTTAACTGTTATATTCAATAATTCGTCACAATTCTCGGCAAGTCAAACTGAGCTTGAACGTTGGGCGCCACTTTGTAGTAATACAAAAAAATAGGAAAAAAAAATAAAAAAAGGGGAAGAGTGACAAATAAGAGGAGAGTTAAAAGAGGTTTAAACGGGGGAAAATATAAAGAGAGTCACTTCGAGATGTGTATTATTCGAAATACCTCGTCAGGCGACCACGGAGGTGAAAGTTCCCCAGAGCTTTCCCCGGATTCCCGGATACGTTCTGCACATCGAAGCGTAGACCCGCTTCTCGTAAGTTCCTCCTAACGTCGCTCATAAGCTCAGCCGAATCCCACCGCACGGCACCGACTGCAGGTTCGGCACCGACCGGAGTCCGCCGGGCTCACTATTCATAAAATGTGATTAGGATATAATTCGACGCCCGGAGGCCGACGGAATGAGCGATCGATCCAGGACGGCGGCCGCCACGCGTCTCCCGATCCACCGTTGTCAACGAAATCGACGTTGTCAGGGGTAACCGAGAACACGAGACGGACCTAAGGCCGGGACGCGACGAGCAGCCCGAACTGGCCAAGCGGAGAAAGGGGCCCGTAGGCACGGTTTTCCCGCCGGGAGCGACCCTGGAACGGAGCCCCCGACGCCCGCATATAAAGAGATCCCAAAATCCGACATCCGGTCCGGGAATCGCTGACGCCCTCGACGCCCTCGACGAAACGATGGAAAATTATCGCCGTTGCCGCGGTGACGACTGTTTGAACGAAAACAACACGAGATTTATAGCTGGTTAGAAATGCTTATTGAACACGTAAACAAATCAACTGTTGCTCCGTGGTTACGTTCGCCGGAAAAATTTACGAGCGCCCGGCAACCGGGTAAATATCATTGCGGTGCTTTTGACGATACTAGAAATTTTTTTTGATTTTGTAAAAAACACAATTACAGCATTTACCTTTCCTCTGTGATAATATTCAAACCGCGCATCATAATGATATCATCCATGGCAGTCAACATCAACAGAATGGTGACCGATCGGCCGATAACCAGGTACGCGCGCGTATCCGAAAAATTATTAAATTATTTACTTGCTCCGTACTCATCATCGCAGCTCGTAGGCGAATAAAGTCGCCGTTAACTGGTCGATTCACTAATAAAATTTCCGGTGAAAATATATCGCGACTGCGAGATTTCGTTCGGATTTTAATAGTTCGCGTTCCCTATAATACGCGACGTTGATTGCTGACGAGCGGCGAGTATAAATTCGTCTGTTCTGTAATCAAACTATACGCGTATACGGTTAAAACAAGACAATCGACTGTATTTTTATTCCTGTTGTTTGAATTTCCGTTT